ACATAAACAATAAACTTTATCTTAAAACCTACAACTAACAGTTTATTTGAACTGCCTAAGCCTTCACTATCATAAGTCCATAATGAGTCGTAATTAAAACATTTATACATTACCGAGAAACTCTTGACATTTCTAAAGTCCACAACAAACCATGAAGGAGAGAAAGCACTATGCATGTTAACACTACAAACTGGGGTATATCATAAACTGTTGAATCAACGTTTCGTGGATAAACCAAATAGGAGTTAGAATGTAGAGTAAATAGAGAATTATAATGCTCATCGTTTAAGTTCATTGCTGTACCGTTTGTTGAAGTTAGAAATTCTGTTAGAAAGTGCTCATAGGGGATATTAATTAGCAAAATCTTAGTTCAAGACGGCAATATTAAATAGTAACTACAACTAAATTGACGCTTGGTAATTGGGGTCCAAGCAAAAGTTTAGGTGCAAGAGAATAAAAAGAAAATTGTTTAATTATTGACCTTGCAATTGGAATTATTGATTTTGCTATTGGAATCGGTTTTTGAATGACAGATATACTAGACTGCAGAGGTTGCCCATCACTATGGGGTAGCAAAATTATTGTTTTACAATTCATGTGGTTCTGATACTGCTGATAATTATTTAGAATGTCGTTTGTATTGGAGTGAATTGGAGTATACCAACGTAGGTACACTATGAAGGAAAAGAAAAAAAGTTTCTGATCATATTTCTAATCTAACTGGCTATAAATGATTGTTGATTGGTGAAGAATATTGTTAATTCTTTGCAATAATATTGAGTAATAAACGAAGGAGATTTATAATAAATAATAGTCTCAGTTTTCCTCATTTACGTATATTCTAATAAGACAGAGACAACAAAGAATTAGCTATTCAGAAAAAATGCTCTGGTGGCCGTAAAAAATGCGTTTGCCTGTAGAATAGTAGATAAAACGGATTTTTGGCCCATGCAGGCGATAAATATTGATAAATGGTTGGGTAATGTTACCTTGTTATCGTAACACCGTGCGTGTTACAGTTAGAATAATTGTTTCTGTTTCGAATTGTGATCGTTGTTCTAACAATGTTTCTTTATTATTATTTTTAATATCGCACGTTGAGAACGATAGTGACACAATGCAAAAAAATGCGATTTTGAGTAATGAGCGTTTAAAGTTCAAGAAATTGTAATCAGCCCCTCTAAACAACGTATCGTCACTACGCCACCTAGCAGTTTCTATGCAAGCTACGTTTACAGGGATCTTTGCATTTTAAAGTTTATACTTAACAAAGAAAAATGTTGCCAAAAGTAAAAAATACGTCGTTTTGGTTCATTTTCAACGTGCGATTATGTTTATTTGGGATAAAAACCTCAAATTACATTTTAATACTTAATTCTAACATTCAATTATAATTTCAATCATGTGTTCATGCTGTGCTATTATTTGGGAACTTCATAGCCGAGTGGTCGACATGCTGGTTTCAAGGTGTCACAATCTCTGTGGTCAATGTAGAAAATGGAGTTTTCTGTATTGTCGCGGGACTGGGTGTTATGGTCTCAGACGCTCCGTAGTACGAGGGCTTTAGCTACTCTTGTTATTTAATATGATTTTTTTTATTTTACAACACCATAATTCACTCTATTATATTTGATCAATTTTGTATTAACGATGCTATACTGAAATATATTCTTAATGGAAAATGTTTAAAAAATTCACTTTATTAAACTAATAATAAATTAAATAACGATTTGAAAACTATTTCTCAAATCATTTTTCATTTTTTAATTAGATTTGTCTTATTGGTATGTTGAAAACAAGAATAAAACAATACTGATTTTTTCGAAGATATATCATAACCATAAACAAATTAAATTAGAATTGTCTTTAGCGTTCAATACATATATTTTTTTTTAGTTTTATGTCCAATATATATATATTTAAACCTATTTAAACCGTTGGTCTCGGCTGCATATGCACTCGTTAACACCTACCAATCCGCACTGGACCCGCGTGGTGCCATGACCCATGGCCCATTCTCGCTATTCGATTTGAGTCTATTCTAACCATCATTGGGGATATTAATAGGTTGGTGAATCATTATACAGTAAAACTCGTATAAGCCGATTTCACAGGAACTCAACCAAAAACGCGTCTTAAGCGGTAAAGCGTATTATGCGGGATATAGGGAAATAAAAAACGGACCTACTACATATGTAGGTATTAATATTTGTAATGTTTTTTTTGATGAAGGTGCTGAATTGTACATTTAAAAATTATGTACGTTATATAAAATGTCGTGTATTACTATCATGTTATTTAAAATAATCACTTATTTTAGTCTGACAGAAAGATTTTGAGGCATTAGCAATTACAATATTTTCAACGTAATTTAACTTTTGTAGTACGTCTTCGCTTTGATTCAAAGAAGTTACATTGCGTCTTAAATCATTAACTGCTGATAAAGCCTGGGCGTGTGTCAAAATCGGAGTTGACTCATCTTCTTGATCATTATTCTTGTGTGTTATTCACACTCTCAATAAGAAAGCGTATTAAACGGGATGACGATCGTATTAGGCGTTAAAGAATGTATGAAAACACGTCTCAAGGTGCAGGGACTGATGCGAAATGGCGTATTATGCGAGAAATCGTATTAAGCGTGATCGTCTTAAACGGGTTCTACTTTAAAACGATTCGTTTAAACGTAGTTGAGTGAAACACTAATCACTATCGGTTAATTATTAACTATCAGTTAACATGTACCGTAACCATGATGAATAGTTAATCAAGGTAGACAACATTTTGTTTTGTAACTAATGGCACTTGTGAAGAAATGCTACTTTTATCACCCATTAATTAACATTATCTGCAATTAAGTACCCAATTTGCATAATTATATCTATTAAAATAGAGGTGAACCTTTAATGTACTGGATTATGACTTCATATTAATGATTTATTAAACTGTAATAGCATTATCAAAAGCGTATTTTGTAAATCAATTTAGACGTTGTGGGTTGTGTAATTTTCCTAATGAATATTAAAAAAAAAAACTTTGATAACAAACAAATTTAAATTTCTTTATTTAATGTATTAATTTACTCCAATTATTTAAATATATAGTTGTTCAACTAAAACGAAGTCAGAGTAAACAATTTTATATTTATAATCTTATATTAGTACCTTTTAAGTATCAAAGATCTTTAAGTTTGTAATAAATTATTCTTATAAGACTACGAATGCAACTAAGGGAATAAATAATACCAATCAATGTCTATTAAAGCTTTTAAATTTAAATTAGATCTATATTATAATATGCATCGTTTAAGCGAAATGATTTTGTATTCAGAATTGATGAATTCAATGGCTCTGACAATGATTCTAGTTACAATTTACAAACAATAAAGTTTATTGTTGTAGGTAACAAAAATACAAAAGTGCTAGAATATCATATTAACTAAGGCCACATTGTGCACAAATGAATATAGTCTTTATAAACAAAGAATTCCTATTAACAATGCCGTTTCATCTTCTACAAAATTGATACAGATGGCAATAAACGACGATGCTTGTAAATATTTTACTTAAAAAGTTATTTGCACAATTGTTTGTAGTGAGCTATGGCCCAGATGAAGAGATAACGTAGTGTGTCGCTAACAGGACTTCATTATGACCCGCATACTTAAATATTTACAGTCCCAGATAAAACGGGTGACACACTGTTTACTTATTACCATTTTTAGAATGAAACTTGGAATGTCTCTTTAAAACTATGGGATTAGCGGAAGTGTTGTGACACAGTTTATTTGGACAGTTTAATAAGATTCAAGTGTACTCAGTTAAGCAAGTTATTAGTTTTGGACGCGATCTTTATACGACTAATTTTGGTTACGGTAATTAATTTATAGAAGCTCAAAAATATAAGTTTGGTATATTTATAATTTTGTAGTATTAGTGACAGATAAAAAAGAAACTTTAACTTAGCGAGAGAAATATATCTAAGGATCTTCGTAATCTTTACGAAGATCCTTGAATAATTTATTTGACATTTTTACATATGCAACATCTAACAACGACTACGTATTATTATTATTATATATATTTCTAGTACCTGGGGCAATAAGATTGATTTATAACGGCATCAGAAGTCTTACTCTGTTTCTGTGACAACAATATTTTGTCTATTTCGAAACGCCTATATGACTCCAAAGAAACCTATTTTCGATAATTTATGATATAGCGCAGGTAGAACTTGACTCTGCAAACCATTATTTTAGCAAAATTAGGTGGGCAATTCGAAAATTTCAGTTATTTTTTTTTGTGGAATAATAAAACCTCTGTCACTTTAAAATGATTATGATCTTTTGCACTATTCGTATTTAATATAGATATACTTTCACTTACGATATTATTACTGAACAATATTTAAGAAGATTTACCTCCTAAGAATCAAATTAGAAAGACTCGTTTTGTGACGTCGCACGGTTACTCAATTATATCACATAAATTTGTCTAGCTTTATAAAGTTCTACAGGAAAATAAGTTTTCCTTTACGATATTAAGCACATAATTTATTTACATATTTTATGCCTTGATGAAACGGGAAAAATTATTGGTAAAGAAATTTTTGTAAATTTGCTTAAGAGAATAAACATAATTTTGTATTTTCTGAAATTTTGTTTTTAGAAAGTTATAATTCTGAATATGTGTTGAAAATGCATATTGAATAATTCTGAATATGCATTAAAAACGCATATAGATACATATATTTTATAAATATATACTAGTGGTTTTTTTCGCGTATAAAATACATATAAGATACACGTAAATGCATTCCTAACACATATTGATAATTCTACCTTACTAATATATTGGTAAGATAATTTTCAAATGTTAAGGGTAATAGATCTATCTCTAAAATCGAAGCAACAATATGTCTGAAGTTGCTTTTGTATCCATTTATATAATCTAATCAATGAATTCTATCATACGAAGTGTATATTAAAATGAAGCAGTACTTACTGGTTCCGTGTCACAAGTCTCCAGATCCGGTATAGGATCGTCACCACAATAATACTCAGTCTGAAGAAAAGGTGGTCTCGGCGGTGGCGGCAGCAGAAATTCAGGAGGTGGACCAAGGCAGTCGCACTCAGTCAGATCCGTGGGCTCTATCTCCCACATCGCGCTATCATCTAACTTAACACTATTCACAACCTTCTCACTGATATCACCATAAACACTAGTATCACGTATATCCCTTTTCACTTCATTTGTAGTCCTAGATTGGATAACGTTCGCTATGTAAAGTTCGTCATCGACGTCACCCCAAACACTTTTACTGACATCTTCGTCATCATCCTCATCAGTTTCTGTTTCCACGTAGAAATTGACTTTGTTTGCTATAAGACCGGCGTCAGTCTTAACGTTTGATGTTTCACTAAAATCACTATCACGATGAACATTTTGTTTTTTGTCACTTGTTTCACTTATATCTTGTTTATTCTTTTTTGGTTCTTCATCATTGCCGTCGCCGTTGTTGAACCAAACATTGTGTGTCCAAAAAGCGTACGGAGACGCCTTAGTTGGACTCTTGTTGTACCTTTCGGCCATACGCAGTTTTCTTCGGTTGTATCTGAAACAATAATAATAAAAAATGTATTTCGAATACTTAATGAGTCGAGATTCATGTATAGGTAATACTAGAGATGTTGTCTCGCACGCATTGCTATGCGGGAGATGTGCGCAAACGCATCACTCGTTTACCTGCCATGCGACGCGGGCGCTTCCCTCACTGTCTGTTGTGTGACTAACGTAACGAACGAACGAAACGATAGATAGAGCCACCGTGTACGCTAGTGAGCTCGTTAAATTTCATCGTCGGGATATTTTAAATGAATTTGGATGCGTTTGCACGCGCTTTGATCGCATTTTATATGGCATCTGTTTTTATTAGCATTATAAAATGTATCTAAGGGTGACTTTAAAACTTGATCAGTGACATTGAATATTTTTATTCCACTTTCTGGTACACTATACATCTAGTTTAATGTGAATCGATTGACGAGTGAATTATTATTATTATTTGTTATTTTCTAATATTGTGATTATATTAAGTATTAAGTATTTTTTTTATTATTTCTATATGAAATAAAACAGATAGAAAAAAGCAGCCTTTGCTGTGGTTTTTGTCGGTTCTTTTCGGTAGGTCTCCTGCCATAGATTTACGAATTATGAATGCCATAGAAGGCTGAGAGTTTCGACTTTTACAACTGCTCATCACAACCTACACCGACTTATTAATTTTGATTTGGTTTGACTGACAAATATCGATACTACTAACTAGCGATATTCAATCAAATATGGAATCAAATTGGTTGACATCACATAAAAATGAGAGAAATGCCGATTGCGTATATTGACGTAGTTTTCAATATACATACCTATATCAAAAAGAATGCTATAAAAATTCCAAGCTACATCAAACAACCGCTTCATTAATCTGTAGTAATATCGATCCTAAACTACTTATTATTTAATAGAAGAGCTAACACCTCATTTTGTATCACAAAGCCACCGCAATTAGAAGCTGCTTCGTTCAAAGTACAATAAGCGTCAAGTATAATATAGTATCATCATAGTGAAAAATTGAGCAGTATTTAAGAATTAATTAAAATTTAAGACGTTTGCTTTTAACAGTATATTTTATATAAAAACAAAATGTGATGAGCTATGGATTATTTTGAAGTATAATCAATAGTATTTTGTAAACACGGTTTTGTTTCCGACTGAAATTTGTAAGTTTCAGCAAATATCACAAAGGAAAATGAACTAATAGAATTACTATTAACAGAAACCTGACAGTATACTTTGCGACTTGATCAGGATCCTTTTACTTCCTTAGAATATTTTGATTGCAATTGCGTCTGAACGCATTTTGGAATTCTTCACTATTTATACAGCTCATGTTAATAGCATCTGCAATAGTAGCAAAGTAATTTTTGTGAATTTCAAAATGATTAACTTTTTCACATAATATACTTACTGTACTATTTGTTTGCCTAATTCCATCAAAATTCGTCTATTACTTTTTACCAGGAGATGACACAATCATTCAGTTGATAGAAGTAGGCTTATTTTTCAAAAATAAACGCAATTTAGTGAATTTATAAAACATTAAATAGAATTCTTTCAGATTTTTAGTTTAAAGCAATTGGAGACAAATGACCTTTGCTGCTAAGACGAGATTGGAAAGTCGAGAATCCAGAGGACACTCGAAGCAGATATGACGAGATATTTCTAGTGATTTCAAGACATTTTTATCATTGACCTACTTTCACTAGAATCCTCTTATCGAAGAAAAGTCTGTGTATTCTTACTAATAAAGATGTTTAAGATTATCCCTTAAAGTATCTAACTCTACACGAAAGTCATTTGATTACGAAAAACACTTCTAATTCTGCTGTAAAGTTTATGGCATTCAACTCACACGTATAAAGGGTGCGTTTTTCTTGCGGTGGAAACCAATTTAAAAAATATTGTTATTCATTAATTTAGACAATTTATGTTAAAATAACATTACATTTGCGTTTTATTTTGCAATGTAGAAAAAAGTGACGACAAATTTTTGTAAAACACGTTTTTTTTAGATTTTTTGTAATCAGTAAATTGTGGCGATACATTGAGTCAAAATGTCACATCACGTCACGTTTTTGTACATTTTTTACAAAACTGAGACGTAGCGAGCCCCCACTTCTCAACTTTAATGCCTGTTTTCTAAGCTATTTCTTGTTAAATTGAAATTAAATAAAAAACGAGTATCTAATATTTTTCTATTTGGATTTCTAGTTATACAATTAGACAAAATAGAATTTCTTTTTTTTCCCCGTCCTTATCCTTATTATTTTTTCTATATTGTCAAGGTTCTTCGTGTTGTGGTAGGTAACTGATGTATTTCAAACTTAACTAATTTGTTGGAGCTACTTAAGCTACTGAATTTAAAATCTGAGTAGTGCAAGTGATTTTTATTTCTTTAAGCTTCACTGCATAGAACAGTAATAGAGCGGACTTAATTCCAAGAGCATTCTCCACCAGTCCACCAGAAAGGACGCAGAGAGCAATAATTTACGGTGAAATAAGCAGCAGTACAAAAAAAGAGTACACTTATACGTATATAATAATGATCAAAACACTTTACATTTAAATATATTTATATATAAATATATAGGCAGTACATAACTAGTATACAATTATGAATAGGAAGTTCTTCCTTATATTAATTATATGTTTCTGTCCAAACTAATTTTGTATGTCGTATTCTCATAAAATAACTGAATACGTACAGACATTCCTAACTCTAATATTCCATACTGATCCCATCTGTAGGGAGCTCGTGGAGTATCGATATCGTCGTAGACTTCACTGGTTATTTTAATTTGTTTTTTATCGTTTCAAATTGGACGGACGGGTTCCATTCTATCACGATGGTGCTACAGAAAGTTTAAAGTTCATCCTCTTTCGATATTTAATTTCAGATCTCATTTTATCGAGGTCGATGTTTAAATATCAAGTAGGAGAGGAAATTGTGTTTTTTTTTAAATGAAACGCTGATTTTTCCAGTAGCAAGTTTGGAATAATGATGTTTATAATGGATTATGATTGGCAAAGTCCCATAAAATTCACATAGTAATTTATAAGTATTCTGATTAACATGTTTATTTAATTATGTATTTTTATAATTACATTCTGGACTACAGCACTTCTGGATTAGTCGTGAGAGCGTAACCGACATATATTTGCGATACTTTGGCATGTTTAATATTAATATGGAATAATTAAACTATTCTCATTGTCACTCATTACATCATTATAGATTATATTATAATAATATATTACCAGGCAGTTACCAAAATAAATAGACTAAGAACAATATAAATCACGATTGCTTGGTCGACTTTTAATCTCACAGCTGTTAAAATGGAAATAATAAGTTTAAACTGTTAAGGGGCCGTCCATTTTTTTCAACATTTTTTGACCCCCCCTCCCCTTGGAGATACATGGTGAGATTTGAGTCTACCCCCTCCCTCATTCAACCAAATCACGTGTATTAAAAAAAACAACAAAAATTCTAATTTTTGACGTCGCTTTTCGGTTTAATAATCGAGCGTCGAGGAAAAAATAAATACATGTGATATAATACTACACCCCACCACCCCCTTGTAATATTTCGTGATTTTTGACGATTCCCCCCCCCCCTTTCGAGCCTCACGTGATTAATGGACGGCCCCTAATATATAATGGATATGTCGTAGCCAACTGGATAAAAGATCTGTCCAATTAGGCGGCTAGCCCGATAATAGAAGGGCGCCATTCATTTGCACGGCTATACGTCGATTAGCTGAGTAACTATCACAACGTTCTTCTACAGTGCGGCTGTACCCAGGGAACTGGTAACTGTCAAAGATTACTATATGAAACACGCTTTTTAATGTTATTAATAGCAAAATATCCGCGACATTCGAATAAAATTAAACTTAAGAATAAACTCCTTCTAGTATCACCATCATAAGCTCTTTTACGTTTCAACTGCAGGAGCTCAGGCCTTACTTATGGATTGGTTGGTTCAACGCGGATTTGATGTTATCAATTATGTTTGTTATCATTTATGTACTCAAATATCAATCTTCACAATATTAGGAAATCTTTAGAAATAATATTATATAGATTTATTACAATGACAAATCAAATTTTAAACATTTTCATCCCTTTAAGTGCTAGATTTCGGGATAAAATATAACTTATGACCTGCATAACGTCTAAAACTAGCCAAACATCAATTTTTATCGAAATAGGTCCAATCCCTCCTTAGTATACCTCTACATTATAAGAGGAATGTATCCTCCAAATTTTAAGTCTACACAACCAGCGCGGTGATTGCTGTGTGTTGTCTGTCGGTCAGTAAGCTAGGAGTTCTCGTTTTATATATGTATAGATTATTCAACATTATAAAAATTAGATTAAAATAATAATATCAGTATGTAGTAAATTTAAAAATGAAGAAGGAAGATATGATTAATATATAATACTACTATCTGACTCAGCACACTTCGTACGGCCGCCTTATACCCGTTTTAAAAAGAAATCTTATATACAAACCGTGTCATGAATCGTGGAGCACAAAACATAGAATCATCCATTTGGTGTAGTTGGAACTGTAATTCGGAAGTTATGTGCGTACATACGTTTCGGCGATTTATCTTTATTCATCGATATTTAAATAGCTCGCCCGGACTGTTTTAGTTTTCGATAACTGATTAATTATTAATTTCTTTGATAATTTGTATTGTTTAAAATAGGTTCGTAAATAACCCATAATTTTAATGTTTTAACTAAACGCAAAAAACTTGTTATTGTGGGTTATCCATGGAAGATAGACATATACCACCGCGGACTTTTTTGTAGATGTATTGAAGAGGTACAATTTCACTATACATTGTTTTGTTATAACTCAAAGTTTTTGGCAGCGTTATCGAGGAAAGCTCCCGATCGGCTTTATTTTTCCCGACATATTTCAATATGTCGTAATATCGTCAGTTTGTAGAAAACCTAAACTTTCTATACACTAAAACCTTCCTCAAGAATTATCTATCTATTGTTGAAAACCGCATGATCAAATCAGTTCAATATTTTTCGAGCTTATCGCGAACAGAGAGACAGATAGACAGAAGTGGCGGGGGACTTTGTTTTATAATATGGAGTGATGTTATGTGGGTGTACGAATAAAATGTGAGACTTTTGATCAAAACTGCGTTTCATTGCAACAAATCTCATATTAAGCTTTAAAACGAAATTATTCATAATATAGCGTAATATTTAGGACGCTAAATAGCGGTTTCCTGATAAAGACGGAGATCTATGCGTCAAAGTGAGAGACCTTGAGGTCAGGAGGTCAACAGGCTTCAGATAGTCCGAGCTTTCTGCTTGAATATTGAATGACGAGCGTGGAAAATTTATGATTCCAATGTAGAATTCTTATAAAGAAAACAAAGGTGCAAAAAGGTAAATAGCCACATGAATAAATATTTTAATTAAACATGATATACGAAACTGATCCCTTTTTACTTTAACGGGAATTCATCTACAATATTGTTTATAGTAAATTAAAAAATTTGAGCGTTTTAATTAGTTTATTGTGGCGTCAATGAAAGTTTGTGATAAAAAATATATCAGACAAAGGAATGGTATAAATTATAATAATTCCAAAATAAAAAGCCGTGGGTTTGGATATTTTTTTTCTATATAATGACGTAATGAAACAAAATACAAGAGATACTCGTATAATTAAAAGTATAAAAAGTATACAATAACTATAAAAAGGTTTTATTGTCGTCCTCGGCAATAATATATTTATACTATACTAATATTACAAAGAGGAAAGATTTGATTATATAATTCAACTTATAATTATATAGGACATGGATGTGAATGGATATCCAAATATAGAGTTCCCTAGGAACCACGCGGGCGAAGCCGCTGCCGGAAAGCTAGTTTATTATTATATTTGACTATGGAGATTAACTATTTAATAATTAATTATTCACTAAAACATCCCTAAGTCTCAACACCGCATTTAAATTTCAAAATGAGAATTCTATTAACAAAAGCTTGTTCAACGCTGATATCATCGCAAACATTAATAGCAAAATCTATAGAAATGAGCGTAACGTATTTCTGAATCTAAGCGAAAAATCAATTAGCAGAACCCTGTTCAACAATGGTATTATCTAAAACAATAATAAGGTTACGTGTATTCGAGACCTCATTAACATTTGGGCCCACTCGATAGGTACCTGACGGTCGGACATCGAGTGTGGAGGGCCCTCGAGCTTCTTAACGAACCCATTCTATTCGTTTTCTCACGTGAATTATTGCGATGTTATTGGTGATGCGAATGTTCCTGACGTCAATATTTAGGGATTCTTTATTTAAAATAGACGATTGTGTGCTTTGTGTTCGATGACATTTGTTTTTTTTCTATTCGGAACGAGATTCGAATCCGACTATACATTAATGCATATGAAGAGTACAAATGTGGAATTCAATGGTTTTACTTTATTATCTATTTAGAAATATTTTCATTGATTCAAAACGCTTAACCAATTTTATTTAGTTGCCACAAGTGCTCGCCAAAGTCAATAAGTTGAAAACATTCTATTAACAATAGCATCGTGAAATATAGTTACACATTATTTTCAACATTACTTGAGTTGAGCTAGCTAGAGTATTTATTTGTATTGGTTAAATAAGTTTACAAAATATATTAACACGTATATTAACCACAAAGACGCGAATCAATAAGATATCCATATATGTACTTAACTAAAACAATCTAACTTTCACTTCAACAGCTTTCGTATCAACCTACAGTTTTATATATACCTGAAAATGAGTTGAATTCTTTTTAGTGGAGTGTTCTGCATTTTTCTGTCTTCTCCTACTCAATCGACTTAAAATTTTCATATGTACGATGCAAAATTAAAAGGGTTCTACCCTTAAGTATATTCAAATCTCTGGAGTCACAGTCCAAAACGGTTGTGTAGCTCACTGAATTCTTAATCGGAGGCCGTGCCAAGAAGAGGGTCGGAGGTCTCAGATTCACATTTAGATTACCACCCGATTACTATTGAAATTCTGTGGTACGTTATCGAGGTGTTAGTGTCATGGTTTTAGTATTTTCTTCATATACTTGTATGAGTACATCGGGGTTTATTTCTTGATTTTTATTAAGTGGCTATCTTTTTCTATTTTCCTTATCATGTAGGTATATTTTTTTTATATTCAATGTATCTTCAAGTAAATTATACGTATATATAAACATGTTGAGCACTCTATGAAAATATTATTCTATGAATACGTAATTTCCATGTCTAAATAACGACAAAAAACAGAACAGATCCACGTTTATTTCATAAATGGATATTACTTATAGTTTTTCAATAATTAATAGAGACTATTTCATTAAAAAAGGAACGAAACTTTCCCGGATATTGCATTGCTGAGTTAGAATAAATAATGAAAATGAGTTTTCATTATCAAATTTTAGTCTTTAGTGTAACATGAGGTAATCGGAGGCAAATTCGTGATTGGTTAATTACTTCCCTATTATAAAGATTTGCACTGTAGTTGGAATTTGTCCCGTGATCCAGCAGGGAGAAATGGAAGAACACAATTTTATAGTGTTGTGTACCGGTAATGAGCTAAATAGGGTAAGGGCATTAATAGGGATAATGACAGGGCAAAAAAAAATGAAATTCATTTAGTCCGCCAGTTAGATAATAAAAAAATATTAGATACGTATTTCTTTTTGGTTTAATCTAACAAGGAATGGCTTAGATAATAGGCATTACAGGTGAGGAGTGGGGGCTCGCTACGTCACAGTTTTGTAAAAATGTACAAAACCGTGTTGTCATGTGACTGTAAATAAATGTAAATTAATGATTAATGCCGCCATAGCACATAGCACATTGCACTTAGTTCAGTTTCACAGATATATATTGGTTGCACTTTCTGATACTCATTATGGCCAATGTTGCAACAGTTATTGAGACACAGAAATCTCTGGAATCTGCACTGATGCATAGAATGAAGGAATTCGAAGATAAACTCAAGTCATCTTCATCCAATAAAGAAAAGGTTCCCCAACTGGAAGAAGAGTTTAAATCCTTCAAAGAAATCGTCTGGAGTGTTGTTTCTCTGCTAAGGCAACAAATTAATGAAGTTTTGAGGACAGTGGATCAGCTGGAAACGAGGCATCGGAGCAAGCACCTTCTTTTCTGTGGAGTTCCAGAAGAGCCTGATGAAGACTTGAAAGCTGCTGTAGCAACTCTTCTTCAAAAACATCTGGGCATCAGAGAAATTGAGCCATCATCAATTAAATTGTGCCACCGCCTGGGAGCCCCGGCTGTGGGTCGCTCTCGTCCTGTTGTTTTACGTTTCTTCAACAGCAATCTACGGGCCACTGTATGGAAACTGAAGACCAAACTGAAAGGCTCTTCTTTGGTGCTAAAAGAGTTCCTCACCAAGCCACGTGAGGCAGTGTTTCATGCGGCTCGAAGTCATTTCGGAGTTCCTAATGTTTGGTCAGCTGACGGTAATATTTTCGTCAAAACTCCTGATGGTAATCGCCTGCGTGTCGTTTGCAGTGATGAACTCGATACTATTGTAAAGCAGTATCCCAGTATCGCATCAACAGACAAAACTTCGGTCACTGCGCCTGTTGTTGGTGAAACATCAACTACATCTCGTCCGCTGCAGGCAAGATCGAGACGTACTGCGAAGACTGTGAAATAATCGTCTATTAACTCCAACAAAGCCATTTTTTGTTTCGTGTGTGTACAGTAATTGTTTCTTCCATTACCTTTGGCTTTGTTTACATCCATTACCAGAAGTCGGTACTCAAAACACTTTTTTTAATACTCCACTTTAAGGTAAATGTAAATATTTTATGTTTTATAATGTTTTCTTTCTAACTTTAAAAAACCATAACAGGCCTGCTGACAGTTGACAGCTGTTACTTGTCAATTTTGTTTTAAGTACGTCACTCACTATTTTAATCAAAGGCATCAAACCCATACAGCCTAAATAAGTTTTTTCTTCTTTTTTTTCTTTCTTTTCGTCTTTTTATTATTGGGCTGTGTTATGTAGTGGGTTTCATTCAATTTTAGTGCTGTCGCTGTGTGTAATCAGTTATATTACTTGTTGTGTGACTGCTTACTATTTGTAAACCTTTCAACCGGTAGGTAGTGCAGGTCAATTGAATTGAATTGAATTTAAGCGCGTTTAATAGTTTTAGAGATTTAATTTTAAAATTCTATAAATTTTATTTGTATATTTTTTATATATATTATTTTATAATTTTATTTATGTCTGATTCCAGTATATATTGTTCAGCTAGCGATGGCGATTCCTCTTTCGATTCTGTTATAACTGATTCTTCCGACGTGGGTGATTTGGGTACGCAGCTTAAACAAGTATTGAAAACTTTTCCTGACAGTTTAAAGGTCTGCCACATAAATGCTCAGAGTATTCCATGCCATTACACAGATCTGATCAGTACTTTCTCTACTAACCTAGTACAAGCTATTCTCGTCTCAGAGAGCTGGCTAAAACCTTGCTTGATCTCAGCCTCTGTTGGTATTCCTGGCTACTCTTTGATCCGCAATGACCGGGTTGGCAAGGGCGGCGGTGGTGTGGCCATCTATTTGTCTCACAGTATCCCCTATAAATTGATAGCTTCGTCATCATCCCGCTTTGACTGTATGGAATACCTGATGCTCGAGATTAACGTCAAAAACACTATAGTCCTTCTGGGTGTTATATATTGTCCTCCTTCGATCCCTTTTCTTTCCGATTTGGAATCTCTATTCGATTCTCTTGCCACTGATTACAAGCATCATATCATCATGGGTGACTTTAATACGGATCTCTTGAAGGATACCGTCTCTTCTCGAAAGTTTCGATCGATAATCGAGTCTGCTAACTTCTCCCTATTACCTCTTGGTCCGACACATCACAATCTAGCCACTGATGACTCGCAGATTGATCACATTATTACATCTTCACTCGATCGTGTTATCAAGTGTGGTCAATTTCTTGCGCCAGGCTTTTCCAAGCACGACTTGATTTTCATTAGCTATAGAGTCAAGCCTCCGAAAACTAAGCCAGTGTTAGTTCGCATGCGGAATTTCTCCAGGTTGGACGTAGAGAGACTTAGACAAGATGCGAATGATATCGATTGGTCTCCAGTTTTTAATGCGTCTTCGGTTAGTGAAATGGTTATATTATTTAACGCCACAATACTTGAATTATTTGAAGTTCACGCACCGGTCAAAGCTGTCAAGTTGAGACGATCTCCGGCTCCGTGGATCACACCTTTTGTGCGCATTGTTATGCGGAAACGCGACAAGGCGTTTCGGGCATACAAAAGGTGCCGTACCGATACCAACTGGGAGATTTTTAAGCGGGCTAGAAATATGTGTAACCAGGTGATAAGGAGAGCCAAACGCCATCACATTCATCAAAACATGTTTAACTCTTCACCTGCAGAAAAGTGGAAATTTCTAAATTCCCTTGGGATAGGCAAATCTCGTGCTCTAACTCCTTGTCCCTTTGCATTAGACGACCTTAACCGTCACTTTTCCCCTGTCATAACTCTTCCTGTTACCGCCAAATTTCTCACTATTTCCAAACTTTTTTCCACTCCTACCTCTCCCAGTAATCTCTTTTCCTTTACCCCTCTCACAGTCGATGAGGTACGTAAAATAATTATCTCTATTAAGTCGAAATCTACGGGATTCGACAACATCAGTAGAAATATGATAATTCCTATACTTGACGCTATTACTCCTGCTCTAACATATATCCTTAATTATTCTCTGACTTCTGGCTCCTTTCCTGACCTTTGGCAAAAGGCATACGCTACTCCTCTTCCCAAAATTCCCAACCCTAGCTGTATGAGTCATTATAGACCTATCTCGATCCTACCATTCCTCTCTAAGGTGCTTGAAGCCGCTGTTCACATACAACTTTCCCGCTTTGTCTTTCATAATCAACTTCTCTCCCCTTTTCAATCGGGTTTCCGCCCCGGACACAGCACTTCTACTGCTCTTCTTAAGATAACTGAAGATATACGCGACGGTATGGAGGGCTCGAGACTAACAGTGTTGGTCTTACTCGACTTTTCTAACGCTTTCAACACTGTTGACCACGATCTCCTACTCTCTCTTCTTTCCCGAATTGGATGTTCAGCCTCAGTGCTTACTTGGTTCTCCTCTTATCTTCGAGGTCGCCAGCAAGCAGTACGAATAGGTCATACCATCTCAAACTGGCGTACTCTGTGTGCTGGGGTTCCTCAAGGCGGTGTGCTCTCTCCTCTTCTCTTCTCAATTTTTATTAACTCCCTAACCACCATTATTACTAGTTCTTATCACCTATACGCTGATGACCTTCAGTTGTACGCGCAGGACGACGCTCTTAACTTGAATGGAGCTGTTGAACTACTCAATAGGAATCTCTCACGGATAGCTGAATGGTCTCATAGTTTTGGAATTTCTGTAAACCCCGACAAATGTCAGGCCATTATCATCGGGAACCCACGTCAAATTGCGAAGCTCAACAGATTTTCAATTCCTGCTGTTGTTTATGGTGGCACGGTAATACCATATACTAATACTGTGAAAAACCTTGGGCTTGTCCTTGATAGTTCTTTGCACTGGGATGGGCAGATGGAAAATATCTGTCGCAAAATACACCGCAGTCTTGGTTTTCTATATCGGCTGAAGAATTTTCTTCCTTCCTGCATTAAATCTGAGTTAATTCAATCCCTTGTACATCCCCTTTTTGATTATGCTGATATTTGTACTTCAGATATCAATCAGATTTTCCTCAACAGACTGGATCGTCTTCTCAACAACACCATTCGCTTCGTTTTCGGGTTACGTAAATATGACCACATTTCTCACTTCCGTCTACAACTTAAGTGGCTGCCCATTCGTGAGCGCAGAAACCTAAGGATCGTATGTACCCTCTTCAACATTCTTTTCGATCCACATACTCCTGAGTATTTGAAATCTAGGTTTCACTTCCTCGGGGCCTCCCACCAGAAAAACCTTCGCTCCAGTGGTAGTCTGATCCTTCAAACACCTACTCACCATTCCAGCTACGTATCCAGCTCTTTCACTCTGACTGCCATCCGACTATGGAATGCATTGCCATTTGAAATTCGTAATGCCCCAAACAAACTCGCATTTAAGTCTGCAGCTCGTAACCACTATTTCCTGTCTACTTCCATTTCATAATCAGACACCACCATTTCAGTACTCGTTATATCTTATAATGTATATGTATATATAATGTATGTATATTAATATTATGTATATATGCGTATATGTATTGTATGTATATATGCCAATGCTTATAGATACGATTTTATGTACCGTTTTTAATCTTTACCGCCTACTACTGTTCTGTACAATCTAACTGGTTGACTGGGAGAGAATGCCTCTATGGCATTAAGTCCGCCATTTGTCCTTAGTTAGGCAATAAAGAATAAATAAATAAATAAATAAATAAATAAATAAAAAAAAAACCTGTTTAATATTATTCATCAATCTACCTGACGGAAAAAAAGAAACCGAAAAAAATTGTGGTCATCCCTATCAAGAGTTGGTAAATCGCGCTTTAAAATATGATTTGTTTTTTACTGTGATATAAATAGTATCGGATAGAAAGAACTAGGAACAGACCAACGACTATTAATAAGTAATTATCTGTATTCGCTTAATTAAGTTCTTGCCGCCTAGTTGGTCCTCCCATTTTCTGTCTTCAAGACATCCTTTCTAGAATAAAAACATTCAATATGCCGTTCTATTAATTATTTATTATTTTTAGCATCAGTTGCAGTTCATCATTTTCCAGACGCAAAACTAATTCAGTTCTGTAATAAAATCATTGATTATGAGTAAAAGGTAACACGACGTCATTAATAAAGCGAAGCGAATCCCGCTTATATAAATGGGTGCAATTATTAATAACGTAATACTTACATTAAGATTAAGAAGAAAATTTATTTATAAAGGTTAATTAAAAATGTAGTTAATAACAAAGTTAAACCAATTAGGTCAAATGTTACAAATAGTGACAGGTGTCCTAAATTACTACACATATAAAACCAACATAAACCTATGCAGATAGTTTTACGAGTCGCGTGGGTCGATAAGTAGCTGATATTTTTCCTCGAGATCAAAATGGAACATCTTCCAGATGATTACATTAATTGTTAGTGTTACATAATTAATCTTAACCAAGGGAAAATAGTCTATTCTCCTTAGGTGAAAATAGGGAGACACCGACCGGAGACGGTAATAATAATCAATTTGACAAATTAAATGTCCGTTCTCGGTGCTTTTACCTTATCTACTCCGATTGAGTGAAACTTATGTTTGGGGGAGCTTAAGTGAGACGGAGTATCTATTGGCGAATTTCCGATCTTTTTCATTGAAGACATATTCTTTGTGAAAGGCAAATACGGTTTTTTATTGTGACATTACAAATAATTAATTGATAATAAATACACAGAAGGATAACGCAATTTACGGAATTAATTATAATTTATTTTTTACGTAGAACAGGTTATTCATAACTGTAGGTAATTACATGAACCTAATCTAATTCTTATTTTTATATTTAATTCAAGTGCTTTTTGGGGCATATTATTTTACATTTATAATAATTCTAGTCCTATATAAACTGTAAAACTTTTTCTAAGGAACGACATTGGCTTGGTGGTCAGT